ACACACAGGCACCTGTAAAACTGAAGCACAGATAATAACCATATTCTATATGCATTCAGAGTCACACAAACACACACTGTAGAAAACACTACTTACCCCCACATTTTCCCATATTTCTTATAACTTTCTTCATCAAAGTGAAAAAATCCCTGGAAACAAGAGCGATACAAAAGATCTAATTATTAAAACACATCATGAGCTGTTTATGACGTAGAACACTGAACAACACCAGATCACACAAAGATCAAATGTGTAGTGTTGGCTACACGGGGGCAGTACGTGACCATAGGTCACAGTGAAAGTTAAAGAAGGTGGGGCTTATCAAAAAGACTTCAACTACACCAGAGAACAATGATAACACAATTTTTAAAAAAAAGTGTCATCTTTCAATTAGTCTACAAATCATAGAAAATAGTACTTGGATCATTATGCAAATATGACCCAGGTCAAGCTATTACCAAGACTTTGGAAAATGTAGATAAACTGAAAGAGCAACGAAGTCTGGTTCACTGATCTAACACTGCGCACACAGGCAGCATTCAAAGTGACGTGTGGATCTGAGACATTAATATAGGGATCATACATTTGAAACAGTCCACAGTGGATACAGTATATGCAGTATATACAGTATATACAGTATATACAGTATATACAGTGTAAGTGTTATTGCCCACCTTTCTATATTTCAACATGGTGCCAAAAAATGGGATAGGTGACGGCCCAGGGACTCCCAGTCTCTTAAATGTCCCATATGTCCAGCAGGAATACCTGTGAAAAAAATGGAACAGGTGTAAGAGAATAAAAGAAGAGCAAAAAGTGGAAATAGCTGAACACATCCAGTAATCTTTAAAACTTACACAAACAGCAGCGTGATGAGGGCAGCCAGCAGGGTCCACGTCTCTGCGGACAAGAAGAAGAAGTACGCCATGTCTGCCAAGTTTCTCTCTTCTCTTCTTCTGTTTTTTCTCTTCTCTCAGTGGTAACACAAGCGTCCTGACCAGAGCCTTTTATATTGTGCTGCACACACATGTTGCATGAGAAAGGGAAGTGTGTGTGAGTTTAACCAATAGCAGCAGAGAGCATCAAGTGAATAATTAACAGAGAGAAAGACTGAGGAGCATTTACTGCGTCATAATCACGAGTAGTAGCTCTGCTGTTTGTGACCCTGCAGTTTTCAGCCCTTCATTTTTGTACTTTATGAGTTTAAAACAAACAAAAGAAGCACAACAATGCAATAAAAACAGCTGTGATTAGCATAAAGGTTTTGTTGTTTGAACTTTAATCTTATTGTATTTGGAATTTGAATGTTACAGAGCAATCACAGTCAAGTCATTACAAACATTTTTTGGTCAAATTGTTTTATATAAACAGCTTTAAACTTATACTGTACTCACAGAAAAAAAAGCATGTCCAGGCATGTACTCACATCTGTGGGTGAAAGTTCTTTTCCTGTTTTCCTTCAGCCTGGAAAGAGGAAAGAGGCTGGTTTATGTAACAGGACTCCTCTCTGAGATCAGATTACTTTAATGCAGCCGAGCAAGAGGGAGCCATGGGTTTTGTTCTTTTCTTCTCTTTGCAAACATGGATACTGCTGATCACATTTATCTGCATATTTGTTATGTGAGTTAATGTTTACAGTAAAACAGTTTAAATTTAAGCTGGCAACAGCTGAATTGGTCAAGACAAGCAAGTTAACAGTAAACAGTGTTTGAGTGAACCTGTGCACCTTCATGCTTTAACCCCTTTGATGTTCTTTCTAGGTACGGCCACTGGACCTTTGGTATATTTGAGAAGATGGGGATCCCGGGTCCAAAGCCAGTCATGTACTGGGGAACAATAGCCAGGCACAACCGTGTATGTAAATCCTTGTGATTGCTATTTGTAAAGATCGAATGATTTGTACCAAGTTCAGAAGGATACAGTGAATAATGTATAACATATCTTGGTGATAAATATGCATTTCCTGATAACAGGTTCACTACTTAGATGACTACGAATGTGCTCAAAAGTATGGGAGGATATGGGGGTGAGTTTGTAAAACTGTCCATATAAGAGCTTGTGCGTGTTTTTAATTTATTTCTTTGTTTTTGTCAGCACAACTGGAGCCAAAGTTCCTTCAGCAATTAAAAATATTTTCCACTACAAATACCTCCCAAAATGCAGATGTGTTCTGTGTAAATGTTCAGTGTGTATGAGTTCAGGAAACCCATGCTGGCTGTGATGGATCCTGACATGCTGAAAACCATCCTGGTGAAGGAGTGCTTCAACTACTTTACCAACCGCAGGGTGAGAACACGAACATGAAATGAACACTGACTGAAACAAAACACCCAACAGTCTGTTATAGTAAAACTTTGTGGTAACTAGTAACCCTGGGATATGGTTGTTTTTTGTTTTTTCCAATAAAACGATCAAAACAATCAAAATGATCAAATCATCCTGCTGGAAATACAAAATTTCAAGAAATGTTTTCGCGAGTTCCCTCAGTAACAACAGAAGCTGAAAACACTGAAAACTGTGAAAATCCTCTGCTCACATAATTTCCATCCATGTTTCAGATAAACTCTAAACACTTGAATATGACATACAGTCAAGCTTTGCTCTGTCGTACCTTTTATCACTGGAAAAAAGTGTGATATTCGACCCAAAGGTGGTTGAAACATGCTAATGTTAGCATGTGTACATACAGCATACAACAGTAACATATCAAGCACGCTCACTTTCTGCTCTGACATGGCTCTTTAGCTTTTAAAATGATATAATAACACTTTTAACATAGCACATGTTCAAAGATGTAACAACTTACACTATCAGTCACCTTCTCATTTAATGTATTTTTATTTTTATTTTTACTACTTCCTACATTGTAGATACAAACTGAAGAAATCAGATATATGAAGAAAGATATATGGAGTTATGTAGCAAAGTCTTATATTTTAGATTCCTTAAAGTTGCCACCCTTTGCTTTGTGACAGCGCTGCAAATCCTTGGCCTTGTTTCAATGAGCTTCATGATGTGATCACCTGAAAAGGTTTTCACTTCACAGGTGTCCCCTGTCAGCATTCATTTGTGGAAATTCTTGCCTTCTTAATGGGGTTGGGACCATCAGTTGTGTCAGGTTGGTACACAGTTGACATCCCTATTTGACAACTGTTAGAATTCCTATTATAGGAAGAACCAATCAGCTAAGTAAAGAGAAACGACAGTCCATCATTACTTTAAAAACTGAAGGTCAATCGAGAACATTGCTAAAACTTTGAATATTAATGTTCCCAAGTGCAGTCGCAAAAACCATCAAGAACTACGACGAAACTGGCTCACATGAGGACCTCCCCAGGAAAGGAAGATCAAATGGTAAATGGCCTGTATTTGTATATTGCTTTTACTAGTCCCTAAGGACCCCAAAGCGTTTTACACATCCAGTCATCCACCCATTCACACACACATTCACACACTGGTGACGGCAAGCTACATTGTAGCTACAGCCGCCCTGGGGAGCACTGACAGAGGCGAGGCTGCCGGACACTGGCGCCACCGGGCCCTCTGACTACCACCAGTAGGCAACGGGTGAAGTGTCTCGCCCAAGGACACAACAACCGAGACTGTCCAAGCTGGGGCTCGAACCGGCAACCTTCCAATTACAAGGCGAACTCCCAACTCTTGAGCCACAATCACCCCCCAAGAGTCACCTCTACTGCTGAAGATAAAATCATCTGAGTCACCAGCCTCAGAAATTGCAAGTTAACAGCACCTCAGATTAGAGCCCAGATAAATGCCACAAAGAGTTTCAGTAGCAGACACATCTCTACATCAACTGTTCAGAGGAGACTGTGTGAATCAGGTCTTTATGATCAAATAGCTGCTAAGAAGCCACGACTAAGGAAAAGCAACAAACACAAGAGATTTGTTTGGGCCAAGAATAACAAGGACATTAGACCAGTGGAAATCTGTGCTTTGGTCTGATGAGTCCAAATCTGAAATCTTTGGTTCCACCTGGCGTGTCTTTGTGTGACACAGAAAATGTGAACACGTGGTCTCTACATGCATGATTCCCAGCGTGAAGCATGGAGGAGGTGGTGTGATGGTACTGGTGCTTTGCTGGTAACACTCTTGCTGAACCAGCATGACTACCACAGCATCCTGCAACAACACGCCCTCCCATCTGGTTTGCGTTTAATCGGACCATCATTTATTTTTCAACAGGACAACGACCCCAAACACACCTCCAGGCTGTGTAAGGGCTGTTTGACCAAGAAGGAGAGCGATGGCCTGGCTTCCACAGTCACCTGACCCAAACCCAGTCGAGATGGTTTGGGATGAGATGGACCTCAGAGTGAAGGCAAAAGGGCCAACAGGTGCTCAGCATCTCTGAGAACAAGACTGTTGGAAAACCATTTCAGGTGACGACCTCATGAAGCTCATTGAGAGAATGCCAAGAGTGTGCAAAGCAGTAATCAAAGCAAAGGTCGGCTACTTTGAAGAATCTAAAATATAAAACATATTTTGAGGGTTTTTTTGTTTACTATATGATTCCATACATGTTCACTCATAGTTTTGATTTGCATCTGCGAATCCTTTGCCTTATCATTGTACAAGTATTTACAGCTGTTTGCCAAACACGTGCAAACATATAACCACGACTTAAAACCACTATCTCTCTAGAACTTTCGTCTGAACGGAGATCTCTATGACGCAGTGTCTCTGGCTGAGGATGATCAGTGGAGACGGATTCGTAACATCCTCTCTCCCTCCTTCACCTCTGGCCATCTAAAAGAAGTAGGTGGAGACATATGGAGGTTACAAAAAAGTATTATTTGTCTTCACCATTGTTTCACTTGCGTTCTTTTCCTCTGTTCAAGATGTTTAGCATCATGAAGCATCATTCGCACAAACTGACAGACAGCCTGCAGTCCAAGGCGCACAATGATGAGGTCATTATTGTGAAAGAGTGAGTGATACCATCCAAGCTACGTTTGTAAAACATTAAACCTCAGATTTTCCCCCAAGATGAAAAATAAATGTGTTAGCTAAAGGAACTTGTGGGCTGATTTTGCAGCTGTGTGGAGCAAACAGTTGAAGGCCTTGAATGTGCCACTGCTGAGTACAATGTGTGCATTCCAGCTTCTTTGGATCCTACAGCATTGACGTGATGGCAAGCTGCATATTCAGTGTGGATTTTGACTCAATCAAGAACCCTTCAAATCCCTTCATCACCCACGCAAACCAGATGTTTAAATTTTCCATTCTTCTTTATATTTTTCAAGGTACTGCCTCTGTTTTGTTTTGGTTTTTTTGTCTTATTATTAACAGATTTATTTGGTAACCAAACGTTTTGACCCATTTTTTCTTTCTCAGCATGCTTTCCAATTTTTCTTCCTCTCCTGGAGTGCCTGGGTGTCTCCTTGTTCCCCAAGTCTTCTACCGCTTTCTTAAAGTCAGTTGCGGAGAAGGTCAAAGCCGAACGCATCAGCTCGTCCAAGGTTTGGACAAACACAAGCTCGGTATCGTCATAAATATAGTCTTGTCTCGCAGCTCATCGAATGCTTAGCTACAATGAAACTTGCAGAAATCCAGTTGAGAAACCACTAACAGATGACTGAAACAATCTCACCTCATGACCTGTTTACATGTTTTTGTCACATCGTGTGACCTTGATTGTTAAATAGAAATATCCAAATATGCCTACCAAATCTCCTGTGATCTCAACATGGTGTGCCACACATGCCACACATATAAAAAGAACACCAGAAGATGCGAGGTTTCAAATTTCCTAAAGAGAATTATTGGCGCCAATTCTTAAACTCATATTCCCTGATTTTAGTTTTATGGTAAATCATTTTTATGTGTGTGTGTTTGAGGTTCACCTTCACATGCGGGCATTGTTTCAAGTGCTTGTTCAGATATGATGTAAAAGTCATTTAATCAGATGTGTTTTCGTATGACCTGTTTTAGGCTTCAGATGATATGCTTCAGCATTTGATCAAGTGTCAGACAGCCAGTGAAAATGACAAAGAAAAGAAGCATAAGGGTAAAAACATCACTACACGTGGAGTCCCTGTGGTCACATCTATGCACATCAGATGTCTCATGCCCTCTTCTGTTGTTCCTAACAGGTCTTACTGAACACGAGATAATTTCCCAAGTGACCATGTTTGTGTTTGCTGGCTACGAGACGAGTGCCATCGCTCTTGTTTTTTTAGCGTACAGTTTGGCACGAAATCCTGAAATCATGAAACGCCTTCAAAGTGAAATAGACTCCACTTTCCCAAACAAGGTAGAATCAAAGTTTCTGATTATGAAGTTGTTTTCTTAATATTATTTGATGAAAACATTAAATCAGAGCTGTCTTTAACCAAAATTGTGATTTGTAACAACCTTATAGGGTCCAGTTGAGTACGAAGCTCTGATGCAGATGGAGTACCTGGACAGTGTGGTCAGTGAGTGTCTGAGGTAATGAGCTTTTACTTGTGCTTGCTGAAAGAATATACACTATGAGACCGCATGGTGACAAAGAGAGAGCGTAGGAGCGTACCACAGCCAATAGGACCTGAGTTACAGGCTGTGTAAATGTGTGATCTAAGACAGTCCAGCACATACTTGCAGGTTGTGAGAGGGCAGGCAAGCTGGGACATTGCACATGGATTGCACAAACACCAGCATACAAGAATAATTTAAAAAAATTCCCACCTAGTGAAAAAACATATACTCATACCACATCAATCCAAATGCCAGTAGGAGTGCTTGTGATTGCATGCTTAGTGAAATACAGACATTTAAAAAGTATTCCCATTTTGTCAACAGGCTGTACCCCTCAATTCCACGTCTGGAACGAGTGGCTAAGGAAACTATAAAAATCAGTGAAATCACAATCCCAAAGGGCATGCTTGTTATGGTTCCAGTCTACGCTCTGCACCGTGACCCGGAGCTGTGGCCAGAGCCAGAGGAGTTCAAACCTGACAGGTAGTTAGGAACTTATCTTAGCAAGTTAGCAATTTATCTTATCGTTCTGAAGATAAATAGCAACAATTCTGCAAAGCTACTTATCATTTACTTAAGTCGTGCCAACAAGGAATTTCCAAGTACAGCCTTTCTCACTACTGGGGATTCTGAGGGATGTTGAGGGTTGTTTACTCATGCAGTCATTCACTGCCAAGATTAACCCTGTAAAACTTAAAACAACTAAATAATCCACTGAAAGTTACATTTCAAACAATTCAGTTTTTATTGAACCTTCTAAACAAATGTATTAATTCATAAATAACAGTTTGCACATTTGTACCGTAGTTTAATATCATTTTTGCTACATCTGGCATTTTTATGCTATTTCTTTCTCACAGTAGGCCTGTGTCAGGTTACTTAGGTATAAATAAATCACACACAAAAACATGATATGCTTGGCATTACAACATTAAGCATATTTTCTTTTGTAAATATCTTTGTATTATAATTTAAAGGACATGTTATTAGGGCAGCATTTAAACACTTCTGTTATATGATTCTATTAATCAATTAAAAGCAGTCATAGCAGGCAGAAAAAAATCATGTAAATTGTGGGTATTTGACATATTTTTTCAATTTGTTTTACAGATTTAGTAAAGAAAACAAGCAGAACATCAACCCGTATACTTACCTTCCATTTGGGGCTGGGCCAAGGAGCTGCATGGGGACGCGATTTGCTCTGATGATGGTTAAACTGGCCATGGTGGAAGTTTTGCAGAACTTCAGCTTCTCAGTCTGCAAAGAAACAGAGGTGACTGTGTGTAAATTGCAAACTTAGCTTGACATAATTTCCTTCGTGCAATAAGAAAACAACATTTGCTGTCAAAAACTGATGTTTCTGATTTAGTGAATTTGTTCGTTCCTCAGATCCCCTTAGAGATGGATGTTGCAGGCTTTGTCTCTCCGGTTCGACCAATCAAACTAAAGCTGAAGATGCGTTCCATCAGCTCAGCAAATGTGGATCCATGTAACTAGAAAGCGCAAGAAAAACTCTGGGTATGAAAATACCAATTTAATATATTTTATTAATGATCATCTACTCATTTCTTGTCAGTTGGTTAGCATTTAAAAAAGCAGTGAATAATCACTAATCACTGACATGTCACATCATTAAGAAGTAATGACACAGAGTGCCTCACTAACATACAGAAAAAGGTGGAAGATTTACATAAATATTTGGAAAGAGACAACTTTTTAAAATAATTTTGTTTCTGTACATTACCATGATACATTTTAAACGAAACAACTGAGATGCAGTTGAAGGGCAGACTTTCACCTTTAATTCAGTGGGTTGAACAAAAAGATTGTGTAAAAGTGTGAGGAACTAAAGTATACTTTAACACAATCCAATCATGTCAGGAGCTCAAAAGTAATTGGACTAATTAAATAAGTGAAAATACAATGTTCATTTCTAATACTTGGTTGAAAACCCTTTGCTGGTAATGACAGCCTGAAGTCTTGAACTCTGATGCTGGGTTTCCTCTTTTTTAATGCACCACCAGGCCTTTACTGCAGCGGCTTTCGGCTGCTGTTTATTTGGTAGACTTGGATATCTCCCTGGAGAGTGTTGTTCACTTGCTGGTTGTTTTCAAGGGGTTTCTCTAGGAAATGATTCTGCGATTATCCACCACTGTTGGCTTCCGTTGATGTCCAGGTCTTTTGGTATTGCTGAGTTCATCAGTGCTTCCTTTGTTTCTCAGGATGTACCAAAGTGCAGATTTTGCCATTTCCAATATTGTAGGATTTGTCAGCTTCACAGCTTAAGGATGGCTTGTTTCACTTGCACGGAGAGCTCCTTTGACCTCATGTTGTCTCTTCACAGCAAAATCTTCCAAATGCAAGCAACACACCTCAAATCAACTCCAGACCTTTTATTTGTTTGATTGATAATGACACCACGAAGGAATTGCCCACACCTGCTCATTAAATAGCCTTTGAGTCAATTGTCCAAAACAAACAAAATCACAGATCTATAATGAAAGGGTCATGGATGAAGGCTTAATTTAAAGGCTTTAATATTACACATGTTAAATTACTCTTTCGTTGGAAAAGTGATACATAAACATATTTGGGAGACAGCATCTCTTCACTGTGAGAGCTCTAAAAAAGCCGAGAGAGTGGGAGGAAGAGAGTGGGTGTGGATGCTGCTTATCTTCCTGGAGGAGCGTTTTTCATTTGTTTTATTCTTATTAACCCTGCTGTTCATTAATAAACTATTCTTGCAACAGACACAGCTCATCCTCTGTGGTTTTCTTTGAGTGCATTTTCCTAAGTCAACTAAACACAAGCTGATTGAGAGGCTCAGGCTTTCCAGCCCAAAGCTTTAGACACAACTCAAACAGATGACCAGAAGACACAAAGACACTTTTCCAGTGAATGAACACCCTTTTCTATTTAAATTCAAAAACTCAGGTATCTGAGCCAAAAGCCAAAATGACTGTAACGTGATTACATGTAGACATGATCCACGAAATGAAGCTTATGCATAAATTCAATAAGGAAGCTCTGTAATCAGCCATCTGGCTGTTTCCTGGGTGTTAGTCTGCTTTTCTGTTCTCTGCAGCTCTGTGACTTTCCCACGCTGTCAATCTCAGTAGCGTTATCATTACTCTGGTCCAATTCTGTCATGATGGGTGCTTGGAGTCCAATTGGCAAATACATTAATTCCCTAATCTCCATAAATCATGTTCAAATCCTCCAAGTTGATCTCTCCTTATTGAGCTGCAACAAAAAAGTGGTGGCGCTCCGAGAGGATATGAAAACAAAACACCCGAGAAGAGATGTGATGTTTGTAATCAGCTCTTTGGAGAATTAAAGGTTATAATGCAACATAATACTGTAAAGCTTTGTGGTCTAATCATGGTGTATTTTAGTTACCGGCCCCAGCTCGGACAGTCTCGGTCATTGTGTCCTTGGGCAAGACACTTCACCCGTTGCCTACTGGTGGTGGTCAGAGGGCCCGGTGGCGCCAGTGTCCGGCAGCCTCGCCTCTGTCAGTGCGCCCCAGGGCGGCTGTGGCTACAATGTAGCTGCCATCACCAGTGTGTGAATGGGTGGATGACTGGATATGTAAAGCGCTTTGGGGTCCTTAGGGACTAGTAAAGCGCTATACAAATACAGGCCATTTACCAGAGAAATATGATTGTGCCCTTTTCAGATTTTATAGATTTCAGCTATTTCCAGGATCCCGTAACATCTTATCTTGTTCATATACGACTTTGCATTTCCTCCTCTCACCCCAAACCAATCTAGCCAATGGCAGCCCTCCATGAGCTTGGAGGTTTCCACTTGTTAAAAGGAAGTTTTTCTGTCCCACTGTCACCAAGTGCTTGCTTGTCTGATTATTGGGATTTTCCCCTGATTGTTGTTGTAATTTGGTGATATATAACTAAAACTGAATTGAATTGAAGTGAATTGAATTGATACATGCTTTAGACAAAAATAGAAATTGTTGATTATTCTTTACAATACGTTGTCATAAACTCTTTGCCCATACTAAACAATGACCGTCCACAAGGGCCAAATGCCTGACTGCCACGTTTTTGTCTTTACTGGATCTATGTTAACGCTTTAAAGCCTAAACCATGAAATAATTGCCAGAAAATTCAAAAAAGAAATTAAATAGAGTGTTTAGTGCACCTGCAGACAAAATAAGGTAGTACAAAAACTGACATGGTGTTTATGTACACAAGAAACATCAAGATTAAAATGAAGAAAAGTCATCTTCTTAGACGAGGAGGGTTAAGAACGTGGCACCAGCTTCAGTTTGATTGGTCGTTTTGGTTGTAGCAGACCCTGGATGTCCAGCTCAATGGGGATCTGCAGAGAAGTGGCATGTAGGATAAATGACAAAAACACACAAAACTAACAGTCAGAGAAGATGATCTGGGCTCTCACCTCGGTCTCCTTACACACAGAGAAGCTGTACCTCTGGAGGATCTCCACTATTGCAAGTTTCATCACAACCAGAGCAAATCGCATCCCAATGCAGTTCCTCGGGCCTGCTCCAAAAGGCATGTAGCTGTACGGATCAATTGTCTCCTTGTTTTCCTTGCTGAACCTGAGAACACACACACACACACACACACACACACACACACACACACACACACACACACACACACACACACACACACACACAGTATATTAACAACAGAAATGGGGTTATATCCCACAGAGCTTCATTCTGCTTTGTCACATCAGACACCTTTCCGTACCTCTCAGGTTTGAATTTCTCTGGTTCAGGCCAAATCTCGGGGTCCCGGTGCATCGGCCAGGTGGGGACCACGACAACCATACCTTTTGGAATCACAAAGCCATTTATCTCCACACTGGCCTTGGCCACACGCTCCAAACGTGAAGCAATGGGGAACAATCGGAGAGACTCATTGATGACACAGTCGAGATACTCCATCTGCATTAGTTCCTGGTACTGGATGGGAGCCTGAACACAAGCACATAAACATGACTGATGATAGAGACATAGTAAGAAGCTGAACCCTGTGCTGATTTTATATATGAGTACAATATATAAAATAATATAATCACCATAACACAATATCATTATAACACATTATATCTACTGTATGATTTACTTTAGTTTAGTTATGCTAGAAAGAAATATATTGTCTTATATTAAGAATTCTGTGTTGTTACCTTGTTAGGGAAGGTTGCATCCACCTCCTCCTGCAGCTTTTTCATCACCTGAGGGTTTGTTGCCAAATTGTAAGACAAGAAAGTGAGAGAGCTGCTGGTCGTTTCGTAGCCAGCAAAGAGGAAAGTCATTGCTTGGGAAAGGATCTCATGATCTGTCAGACCTGAGGAGGTAGGAGGGATATACACGTTAGAACAGCTTTAAGCTGGTTTTTCCATGTGTGGAGACGTGTGTCCGTGTATCACCTTTATCCTGTTTGGAATCATTATTTTGCTGAGAGTCGATCATTAGCTGGAGGAAGTCCACTCGAGTCTGGAAGTCAACAAACACAGTCTGAGAACAGCTGTGATTTTATGTCAGAACAGGTTATTGGTACAAACACAAACTCACAGCCGTACCTTTTGTTTGCTGCCCTCACGATCAATCTTGATCTTCTGTAGTGCAGCGTAAAAGAAGTCTGTGACAGATGCAGGGAAAAAGGAAAACTCCAATTTTTCCAATATGGGAATCATGAAGGGAAAGAAGGCTGAAATTAAACAAACAAGAGGACATTTATTAATGGAAGATGAAGGACAGCAGCTGCATTGATGGACATGTTGTAGTGGTGCCCAGTTTGATCCCAGGAGGAGACACAAATCCTCACCAGGAAAAAATCTGCCAAAACAAACACGCAGAGCTACAAGCCAAGGTAAACACTTGTTGAATAACGGGAGCAGTCAAAAGGAGCTTCATGTATCAAAATGAATATTTTACCAATAGTGAGGACGATGGGGCTGAAAAGGTCAAATTTCAGCATCTTTTTGATGTTCATGACAAAAGGATCTGAGGGGTTGTTGAGAGAGTCGATGTCCACACTGAAGGCGGTGCTGGTTACCACATCCATGCTGTAGGGTCCGAAAAACCTGCAAAACCACACAAACACAGCAAACATGACCTTTATTATTGCAGACTTAGAAGAGATGAATCTGCGCTTTTTCTGATGTATTTAAATGAAAACAGTATGAGAGTTCTCACTCTTTCAGCTCTAGAGGTTCATCTTTATCTGCTTTCTTTTTCATGCTGCTGATCAGGACAGCTGAATGCTGCTTCATGATGTCAAACATCTGAGGCACAAACAGACAAAAAACAAAAAAGTCAACCCTGAATGCAATTTCAGCAGCACAGAGGTAACACTGTTTTTCTACATCTACATTCGGACTGAACAAAATCCTAAAGAAGGGAGCATTCATGTTAATAGATGTCTTTTTTGGCATTGTATTGTTTTCAGGGCAGAGAGGCACGTACCTCTTTCAATCTCCCAGAGGTGAAGGAGGGAGAAAGGACGCTGCGGATCCTCCTCCACTGATCATCCTCTGCAATGGACACAGCATCGTACAGCGGCCCATTCAGACGGAAATTCTGTAATAACATTCAAAAGCAGCTGGTGATGAGGACAGAAAGTCAGATTTTTTTT